AAGAAAGGATATCAGAGATTAAAGATCAACTTAATCAAATAAAGCGTGAAGTCAAGATTAGAGGAAAAAAAATGAAAATAAACGAATAAAGCCTCCAAGAAATATGGGGCTATGTGAAAAGTCCAAACCTACATTTGACTGGTGTACTTGAAAGTGACAGGGAGATTGGAACGAAGTTGGAAAACACTCTTCTGGATATTATCAAGGAGAACATTCCAAACCTAGCAAGACAGGCTAACATTCAAATTCAGGATATAGAACAACACAAAGATACTCCTCGAGAAGAGCAACCCCAAGACACATAATCATTAGATTCACAAAGGTTCAAATGAAGGAAAAAATGTTAAGGGCAGCAAGAGACAAAGGTCAGGTTACCCACAGAGGGAATCCTATCAGACTAACAGTGGATCTCTCTGCAGAAACCCTACAAGCCAGAAGAGAGTGGGGGCCAATATTCAGCATTCTTAAAGAAAGTAACTTTCAATCCAGAATTTCATATCCAGCCAAACTAAGCTTCATAAGTGTAGGAGAAATAAGATCCTTTCCAGACAAGCAAATGCTGGGAGATTTTGTCACCACCAGGCCTGCCATACAAAAGCTCCTAAAAGAAGCACTAAATATGAAAAGGAAAAATTGCTACCAGCCACTGCAAAAACATACCAAAATGCAAAGACCATCAACACTATGAAGAAACTGCATCGACTAATAGGCAAAATAGCCAGCTAGCATCATAATGTCAGGATCAAATTAACATATAACAATATTAACCTTAAATGGGAATGGGCTAAATGCCCTAATTAAAAGACAGAGACTGGCAAATTGGATAAAGACTAAAGATCCATTGGTGTGCTGTATTTGGGAGACACATGTCACATGCAAAGACACACATAGGCTCAAAATAAACAAGTGAAGGAAGATTACCAAGCAAATGAGAAGCAAAAAAAGCAGGGGTTGCAATCCTAGTCTCTGATAAAACAGACTCTAAACCAAAAAGATCAAAAGAGACAAAGAAGGGCATTACATAATGGTAAAGGGATCAATAAAACAAGAAGAGCTAACTATCCTAAATACATATGCACCCAATACAGGAGCACCAAGATTCATAAAATTAGCCCTTAGAGACCTGCAAAGAGACTTAGAGTCCCACACAATAAGAGTGGGAGACCTTAACACCCCACTGTCAATATTAGACTGATCAATGAGACAGAAAATTTACAAGGATATTCAGGACTTGAACTCAGCTCTGGACCAAGCAGACCTAATAGACATCTATAGTACTCTCTACCCCAAATCAACAGAATATACATTCTTCTCAGCACCACATCATACATATTCTAAAATTGACTACACTACATAATTGGAAGTAAAACACTACTCAGCAAAGGCAAAATAATTGAAATCATAAGAAGCAGTCTCTTAGACCATAGTGCAATCAAATTAGAACTCAGGATTAAGAAACCTACTCAAAACCACATAACTACATGGGAACTGAACAACCTGCTACTGGATAAGTAGCAAAATTAAGGCAAAAATAAATAAATAACTTGAAACCAATGAGAACAAACACTCAATGTACGAGAATCTGTGGGACACAGCTAAAGCAGTGTTTAGAGGGAAATTTGTAGTACTAAATGCCCACAAGAGAAAGTGGGAAAGATTTAAAATTGACACCCTAACATCACAATTAGAAGAACTAGAGAAGCAAGAGCAAACAAATTCAAAAGTTAGTAGAAGACAAGAAATAATTAAGATCAGAACAGAAATGAAGGAGATAGAGACATGAAAAACCCTTGAAAAAAATCTATAAGTCCAGGAGCTGGTATTTGGAAAAGATTAACAAATAGAGAAGAAAAGAGAGAAGAAACAAATAGACACAATAAAAAATGATAAAAGGGATATTACCACTGATCCCATAGAAATACAAACTACCAGCCGAGAATACTATAAACACCTCTATGCAAATAAACTAGAAAATCTTGAAGAAATGGATAGATTCCTGGACACATACTCCCTCCCAAGACTGAACCAGGAAGAAGTCAAATTCATGAATAGACCAATAATAAGTTCTGAAATTGAGGCAGTAATTAATAGCCTACCAACCATAAAAATCCCAGGACCAGATGGATTCACAGCCGAATTCTACCAGAGGTACAAAGAGGAGCTGGTATTATTTCTTCTGAAACTATTCCAGGCAATATAAAAAGACAAACTCCTCGCTAACCCATTTAATGAGGCCAGCATCATTCTGATACCAAAAGCTGGCAGAGACACAACAAAAAAGAACATATTAGGCAAATATCCCTGAGGAACATCAATGCAAAAATCTTCAATAAAATACTGGCCAACCAAATCCAGCAGCATGTGAAAAAGCAACGATCCACCATGATCTAGTCAGCTTCATCCCTGGAATGCAAAACTGATTCAACATATGCAAATCAATAAACATAATCCATCACATAAACAGAACCAATGTCAAAAACTACATAATTATCTCAATAGATGCAGAAAAAGCCTTTGATAAAATTCAACACCGCTTCATGCTAAAAACTCTCAATTAACTAGAAATTGATGGAACATATCTCAAAATAATAAGAGCTGTTTATGACAAACCCACAGCCAATATCATACTGAATGGGTAAAAGCTGGAAGAATTCCCTTTGAAAACCAGCACAAGACAAGGATGCCCTCTCTCACTACTCCTATTCAACATAATATTGGATGTTCTGGCCAGGGCAATCAGACAAGAGAAAGAAACAAAGTATAGTCAAATAGGAAGAGAGGAAGTCAAATTTTCTCTGTTTGCAGGTGACATGGTTCCATATTTACAAAACCCAACCCTCTCAGCCCCAAATCTCCTTAAGTTGATAAGCAACTTCAAAAAAGTCTCATGATACAAAATCAATCTGCAAAAATCACAGGCATTTCTATACACCAATAATAGAAAAACAGCCAAATCATGAGTGAACGCTCCTTCATAATTGCTACAAAAAGAATAAAATACCTAGAAATACAACTTACAAGGGATGTGAAGGACTTCTTCAAGGAGAACTACAAACCACAGCTCAAGGAAATAAGAGAAGACACAAACAAACGGAAAAATATTCCATGCCTATGGATATGAAGAATCAATATTGTGAAAATGGCCATACCACCCAAAGTAATTTATAGATTCAATGCTATCCCCATCAAGCTACCATTGGCTTTCTTCACAGAATTAGTAAAAAACTACTTTAAATTTCATATGAAACCAAAAAAGATCCCCTATAGCCAAGACAATCCTAAGCAAAACAAACAAACAAACAAATAAAAAACCCAAAAAAACAAAGCTGCAGGCATCATGCTACCTGACTTTGAACTATACTACAGTGCTACCATAACCAAAATAACATGGTGCTAGCATTAGGGTAGATGGGTGCAGCAAACCACCATGGCAAGTGTATATACCTATGTAACAAATCTACACGTTCTGCACAGGTATCCCAGAACTTAAAGTATAATAAAACAAAATTAAGATATTAAATTAAATAAATAAATTAAAACTAAAAAAAAAGAAGTCATTGTTTGTAGATGAAACTCAGTGTGAGCAAAGTCAACATTTTGTGCATTTCACAGGTCAATAGGAGATCAGGGTTATCTGAGGAATGGTCCACTCAACTCCTGCTTATATGAATGTATTTCCTTCTCAGGGCTAGGAAATTCTCCCCACATCTATCCTTTTGATCATCATGGCTGTGATTGCCAGGGACAAAGGAGGAAAAGGACAGAGCCAGATAAAAAAGAAACAAAATCAGGTTGTTTAAATTGCCAGGGAAAAATGCCCTTGGCTAAAGGAAGTCAAACCCAGAACACCCTGTTCTCGTTAATAAAGTTCATCTGTCTCCAGTTTAAGTAAGGAAAACATAATCTCTTTATTTGTGTGGGGCTGCTCAGCCATTCCCACCTTCACTCCCACCCAAAGTCATGGATGGCTGAGGAGTGTCTGTCCTTTCCCTAGAGCAACCTGCTCCTTCAGGATGCTAAAGTCCCAGGCTGGTCACATGCATTTAAGCACAAACTCACTTTTTCAGATGCAAATCTCAAAGCTTCCACTAAAAAGTAAGCCCATTCCCTCCGTGATTGAAATCTGTATAACTCAGATACAAAAATAAATGTTCCTTCTCTCCTCTCCCTCTGTTCCAAAGTGTTTCAGCAATCTGGGATCTAGATACAATTAACTTAACTCCATGTGACATTTATGTCAAAAAACAAGTGAAGAACCTTATGCTTTGGAAGGACTCCTCTTCTTGCCACCTTCCTAAGATATATTCCGGCATCAATTCCCAAGCCACAGCATCAAACAGTCCATGACAGATTCTGGATTGCCCAGCTGGTCTGTCTGAGAAGGTGCCCATTTGTGAATCAGAGCTCTCAGCAAAAAATGACACTTCTGCAGATAAGCCTGCAAGCTTTTTCTTGTCAGAAAAACTATGTGTTTTCCTCACTTTATAGATGAGGAAAGTGAGGCCTAGAAAGGGGGAGGGATTGCAGGTCACACTACTAGTTGGTGACAGAAATTCATATCTCATGACTCCCAGCTCCTTCTACTAATGCACGGTGGGGCCTGGAAATATCTACTACTCCTGCGTCCTTCTGATGGTCTCTGTTCACTTTACAGTGACCTGCCTTTCACCGTCCTTTACTCCAGTGGTTTTCAAAGTGTGGTCCCTGGCCAGAAGCATCAACATCACCTGGACCTCGTTGATATGTAAATTCTCTGGTGCCATCCCAGGCTTGCTCAGTCTGGTTTAACAAGCCCTCCAGGTGATTTTAATGCTCACTAAACTTGAGATACCTACTTTAATCTGTTAGCTCCATCCAACCTATTCACAAGGGGATCAGATCCACCTGATTTCATAGCTCTTTTTCAGTTTGGCTGTTCTAGCTACCTGAGGCAGAGGTTAACTTATCTCTGAAGAAGGAGTGTTTATTGTAAAGTTTTGAAGAGGAACCAGAGTGGAAAGCTGTCATGAACTGAGGCAGCTCTCGGGACAACTCTCTCTGTGTTTTTCCTTCTTTCTCTCTCATCTGCTCTTCTCTCTCCATAGTATCATTCCTTTACTTTTAGCTCTATTATTTTCTGTTCCTTCTTGGACGGCATTTGCCATAGGTCTACTACAACCTGACTCTAAACCACAATACCCTTTTTGCCTTAATTTTTCTTCTCAACTGGCAAATTCTTTCTGTATAACTTCTTTCATGTCTCATTTCAAATTCCCGAAAAGGATATTAACTGGCCCAGTGCATCTCTTGAGCCAGGGCCATACTGGTCACATGGTTACCTGAATGATTAACCACCCTTGAACCTGATGTTTGCTGCTATCTAATCAATTATTGACATCACAAGAGTGGGCAGCTATTACCATTACAAGATGGGTAATTACATGGGGGAGTCAAGAGGATGAGAGTGCAACTTAGAAGTGAGACTTCTGTGTAGTGATAGGAACTTCAAGAGGAAATTGGGAGAGAGAGGAGGACAGCTGATGTAGAGCTCCCCCCACCAACCCTGTGAATGAGATGAAGGTGCTTGGGTGGTAAGGCTGAACAATTTGGCTTGCTGAAGGTTGAGTTGGAGATGAAGGTTCTGTTACCTTACTATGACCTCAATCTTAAGGAGTACTTCCAGGCTGGGATGGGCTGGAAAATACGGGATGCAGGTTATCAACTCCCTAAAAGTCACAGAAGATCCAAGCTGTAAGGAATTTCAGGAAACACCCAGCTCAGCAGTTCTCAGCCCTGGTTGCCCATTAGAGTGCTTTGAAGAGCTTCTGAAAACCAGAGATGCCTGGACTCCCCTTCAGGGATTCTGATTTAAACCTCCCCAGACACTTTACGTGCACAGCCAGGACTGAGAATTGGAGCTTTAACTTGACCCTCTTAATTTTACAGGTGGGGAAACTTGGGCTTAGTTATATGACCATGGCTCACTTAAAGATCTCATTTCTAACTTGGTTATAGAGTTTGGGTTACTGGATCATAAAATGTTAGAACTAGAAGAGATCACAGAAGCCATGCAGTGGAACCCTACCACTGTTACTAGAGGCTAATGAGCTAAGTGACTTGTCCAAGGAGTCGTAGTCAGAAAGGGGATGGTTGAGGGCTGGAACCCAGATCTCCTGATTCCTAATCCAGTGCTCACTCCATGACAGCCAAGAACAAGGGACTAAAAGGGCCAGATGAGAGGTTAACCAGAACCAGCTGCAGACCTTGCACATACTCTACCCAAGGAAGCCTTTCCAGCAGCACAGCTGAAAGTTTGGCTGCAGAATCTGGGTGGAATTGGATGACAAGCAGTCTTGGCCAAAGGAATCGGTGCTTTGGGGCCCTGAGATTGGGCAGGAGGCTGGTTTGATGATGCTAGTCCTTGCTTTCTGCTTGCCTCTCAGTGTGCTGGGAATATGCTTGTGTGTATTCCCAATCAATGGACAGCTGGGTTGGAACTGTATTGTGATGTGCTCTAAAACCATGCCCTGGG